ATTCTAAATAACTAAATAATAAATTTACTATACAAAATTAAGAAAAATTCTCTAAATATTTAAGTTAAAAAATTATTTATTTGGGTTAAAATTATTTATTTAACCGCCAAATAAATAAATAAATATACTAAAATAAATAAATAAAATAAAATTAAAGAATTAAATAAATAAATAAATATAAAAAAATAAATTAAAAAAAGGGTGGTAGCCGGTTGGACCGCCACCCAATCGGTTTAGGGAGACAAAAATTGCTCGCCACCTCAAGAAGGGTGGCTAGAAAAGTGCACGCCACCCGTGAAAGGGTGGCGTCTTTCTCTTGCGCCAACCGTGAAAGGCTAGCGCAAAAATGCATCGCCTCCTTCTCTTTTTTTTTAAAAAAATAAATATGTGAGGGCAAAATAATTTTTTAAGATTTTTTATGGCACTCAAATAAAAAAATTAAGGCGTCCAGTAGCCTCCCAGAAAATAAATGGAGACGTATCACTGCATAAGCACTTCGTTGTTAGTTCAATTCCCAAAAAAAGAATGCTCCGTCCAAATGAAAGGCTTCAAAAGAACGACTATAGGCAAACTGTTATTATAATTTATGTATTTTCAGGATGAAGATTTCTACAACACTATGTATATCCAGTTGTAGAATATAACACCCCAAATGCAACAAAACCCATATTAAAGATGCAGTATTCTGAGTTTAAAATAAAATAAACATGAAAAAGCATTGTGAAGCACTCCAACTACAGAGAAAGCTTCTTCAAGTTTCGAAAGAATATCATACAGACAAAAAAGACAAAGTGGTATGCATGAAAGACATGGAAAATATTAATTGATCATTAACACGACGTAGAAAAAATTGCATAAAAAATGCTTAAACAAATGCAAAATCTATAATGCAAGACAAGGAACAAACGAATGTTTTTGTAATAATATCAATTGGTGTGATGTAGGTGAACCGTTAACCAAACGGAAAAGAAAAGACAAAATACATCTATTAACGATAATGATTGATAGTAGTTGAGGGAGGATATAATTTAGTGATAATTATTCCTGAAAATTATCAAGAGTATTGTAAGGTATAGTTTTTATCAAATAGTATAGTAGTTTTTATCTAAAAGTGTAGAATGACTATAGATACAACATTAGTTTTTCATTTTGGAATCTATCAGTCACAATGTAGTCTTCAAAGATTTTTGGTGTTAAGTTTATTTCTTTCATTTATGTTCTTCAAATTATAGTTTTTTTCTTGGTATCAAAGCAGGTTCCGCCCTGCTTTTGCGTATGCTTCCGCTTGTTTTTTTGTTTCAACAAATAAATCATGATTAGTTCAGTCATGAATATTAATAATTGTGATATATTTTAAATCTAAATTTATCCCAAATCACTCCTGTTCTACTGCTAATCCCAAACTCCAGTTTGATTCTCCCAACAATATCCACAATACCTATAAATCTCTCACAAATTGATCCCATTGAACCACAAATTTTTTTTCTCTACAAACAACTTTAGTTAATCCACAAAGTCACCTCTGAGCAAATCGGCATTTTTTTTTTTCAGAAATCAACTTTAGTTGATCCACAAATTTTAGACAACGAAGAAAGTCACCTCTGAGTTAATGCACAAAAATTTTCATTATGACAAGATTTCTGATCTTCTCTCAAGAGAAGAGTTTTGACTTATTGTACAACAATCTAACAATCCCCAAAAAGATTTTCCATTATGGCAACAGTCTCATCTTCTAACAAAAGAAGAGTTTTGACTTCTCAAGCAAAAATCTAATAATAAATTTCAAACGTTTTTTGTCCAAGACATAGCCAGAATCGCTCAATATTTAAAGTCGATAACGGTCCACAAGAAGATTTTTCACCGCCGCATGAAGATGAGAAGCCGTCAACACAGCAAGACTCAGTTTAAGGGAGGATATTAAAGATAATGATTAATAATATTTGAGGAAGGATTTAATTTAGTAATAATTATTCCTGAAAATTATCAAGAGTGATTATCAGAAATAGATTATCCAATAGTATAATAGTTTTTATTTAAAAGTGTAGAATGTCTATAGATATGACATCAGTTCTTTATTTGAGAATCAATCAGTCACAATGTAGTCTTCAAAGATTTTTGGTGTTAAGTTTCTTTCTTTCATTTATGTACTTCAAATTATAGTTTTCTTCTACATCGCTCGCACACACATATTTGCGTACAAACATTTTAAAAATGACACATACATACTTATAATCACCAAAAAGATAACTCCATAGTTCATATTTAAACAATGCATTAACCGATACGTATGGATATCAACAGAATCTCAGGCAAGTATATAGGCAAATTTGTTACAATCTCCTTAATTACAATCACGTAAAATGCTTCAAAATTATGTGGGAAAACATATATTTAAATTATTAATGTCATTGATTTTGTGAAGTTCCACGATAGAAAAGTCTACTTAGGCTTTTGATGTTCTTCATTATTAAAAGGATCTAACAACTTATTGTTAATAAGATTCTAGACAATCGCTCTAGGGTTTCTTTCATAAATGACTATCTGCACAAGGTCAATGTCACATATTTTATGATCTTGATAATCTAAGAATATTTCCGCGGACGATTGTATTTGCGTCTAAATCATTAATATCGATAATCTTAATATTTGATTAGCACTTTCAAATTGTCTCATTAAAACCCAAGTTTAACTTAGTCATATAAGCAAATAAAACAATGTGCTATTAATGCCTAATGTTTATGCATGGAATCAATAGTGTTTGCCATTATAGCTGCTGCCTTTCATATAGTTGTTTATTCCATATGATACTCACCCTTCCTGTGGCTACTTTTCACACAAATCAAGCACTATCGCTTGGTTGTGCTTTCTAGACAGACTGAAGGTTAAAGCTGTTGTGGCTAAATGGAACTCTACGATTGATACAAGATGTGTTTTTTGCCACAATCACGAAGAAACTATGAAACACCTATTCTTTGGTTGCCACTTCTCTACTCTTGTTTGGCAAGGAATTTGTGACTTTAATGGATGGAGTCTTCCAAACTCTTGGGATGATTTTGTGAGCCAACAATTTTACAAGTGGAAAAATGATATTCTTGCAGCTGCCAAAAAAGCCTCTCTATGTGCATCTATTTATTTTCTTTGGGAGGCACGAAATAGACGGATTTTTTAGAATGTACCAGCAGTGGAAGCCAAGGTAATACAACAAACTATTTTCACTTTGAAAGTGAAATATGCATCAATTCAAAAAGTTCCGAGTTCGTCTAAAATTTTAGCATGGTGTAATAGAGTACATTTGAGTCCTAGAGTTGTCAGTAGAAAACGCTAGAGGTTGTTTGGATAAGACCTAGGGTATGCATAATGTGTCATTTTGGGCAGACATAATTGTGATGTACCAAATTCTTTCACATGGTAATGAAATTAACTTCTTTACCAAAAAAACAATTTGTGATATCGTTAATGCAAAAATGATAAAGTTGCAGTAACAACACCGATGCCAGAAGGGTGATCGGGCAAAATTAACTATTAAAAATTTGTAAACGTATAGTTGAAATGAAAACAAAGCATAATATGAATTTTCTGTATGGTTTGTTGTATTTTATTCGATCTATAGTGACCTTTTTATTGTAAAAATCTTATGCTAGGGTTTTCATAGTACAAGAGCTACAAAATAGGCTGATATTCTATTAGTTTGCTTCCACAGCTAATAAATCGTACTCGACTAACAAGTCCCCTTCTTTACAAAGAGCGATTCACATATACTTGTCTAATTCTGCCTACTAAAAAATAGGTAACTGTAGTATACTGCAAAACTTAACTTCCTATCTGCCTACCTTTGCTCTAGCAAGCAGATTCTTTTTCTTACTCTAATTTGCAAAAATTGAGATGACAAACTTGGCAGAATATTAGTGTCACCAATGCTAATTAATTATCTCAAAATGTTCACTCCTACAACAGACACCTAGATCTGTTAAAACCTAGAACCATCATGACTCTACTAAAGATAGGAATGAAATGGTGCTAGCATTGGCGGCAACTCCATTATCACCCCAATCTGTTTGAAGGTTCATTATGATAGTAACATTAAGGATAGGAGTAAGAATAAGATAGCAACAGTAAGGAAAGGTGTAACAAGAATATGTTGTGCTAAAAATAGGAAGCTGAAAATGTTTATCTGCAAAGACATGAATATCGTAACTTTGACTTGCATTGGTTAGAATGTAGATATGTTGACTTTCGAAAAGCTACTAGGTATGTATAGTCAATATTGTTAATAAAGTACGTTTTGTATTGGCTATAATGATCATGGGTAATACCACAGCTAGCCATACAAGAATCCTTAGTAAAAGCAACATCATAGTTTAAGTTTTAACCAATTTACCGGTGGGCGATTACAATGAATCATAATGGAAACCTTGTCAGCACCAGTTCCTTCAATCCATCTTTCGCAATTAATGGCCTGAAAGATATAAACTCATGTAATAGTCGTCAATTGAGTAGCTATTCTACTTTGTGGAAGCTAATAGTAAAATTTAATTCAACTGAGCGTTTAGACAATACATAACCCATAGTACCATATAGACTACTATTGCAGGTAGAACATTGTCTTAATTGTCTCCTATGAATCAATGCTATGAACAAAAACATGCTTGGGGTAGAATATATATAGCTTTTGCATTTCATCCTTGAAGAATTCTATGACCTTAACCTTATGGGTTAACGTGTTGATTTTAGATATGACTCACCTTTATTCATTTTTGAGGACTCGTTATAGGGATCATGATAAAGGAAACACTAATTATAAAAAATAAACCTACATTATATGAATGTTGAAAAGACCACTTGTAAAGTAAAAAAAATTAAAAAAAGCAAATGTTTTGAAACTAAGCAAATTAGAAAGCTTAATAGTCAACCACGAAAGAGAGTGCTAGCTCAATTCAGACATAAAGTAAATGCCAAATTCAGGGGCGGTGAATTATTGAGTATCTGAATTATTATCAAATTCAGGGGCGGTGAATGTCTTCCATTTTCTCTTGAGGTGGCGCGACATGCACACGTATATAAAGGCCCCTCTGTTCACACGTCACAAATTCACATATGCAATGCTCATTATCTCCAATCAGATTCGCCTTACAAAGCTCCTTCCATCCACCGTTATAATAAGAACGCCCATCCCTCCAAATGGTAAGAGTCGTCTTCCACTCCCTTCCTCGAGAATCAAGCAGCAAGGTCTCTTTTGGAAGTTGAAGGTCGTAGGTATTGATAATTTTAGTTGGAACAAACTGCAAAATTATTTTTGAAATTTCTGCATTTAGCACGATAAATTTTCATAACTATGAATCAGCAATAAACAGATTACCCTTTCTACAAACTTGTAGCTATTTTTCCTTTCAACTTTAACAAAATTACCATTACACAATTGATATAATGTCTTGGTTAACCACTAATTTATTTCTCATGATAACAATTATGAACTATAGTTTAAACCTTTCATGTGAAGGATTGAAAGGTAGTGAGTCCATCCCCAATTGAACACTAGTTAAATTTGAATGTAGAATACTAAAACTCAATATGAAAATACATACCAATTCGCTCTGCCTCCTCTTATTCACTTTTGTAAAGAAATATGGATTCTTCGGTTTGGGAACCTTTCCAGATTTGAAAATATCCATGCCAAAAGGATCGATTTGTATCCTCGTGCGCTGAAGGTGAGGATCTCCTTTTGCTCCTTTACCAAGTAAAAATATAGATAACAAATTAATGAAGAAAACTAGGTAACCACTTTGTCAAAATAAAGGGGAAAATGCATATTCCCATGGTCAAAAAAGAACAAGGAAAAAAAGGGTTAAGTTTCCTCGGTGCTAGGGAGTATTGAGAAATTAAATCGTACCTTCGGCGGACTGACTTGACACAGGTTGGTTGATTTTTTCCATAATCTCTACCTCTGACGTTTCATCTTTGTCATCTTTGTCAGGTTGAACTTCCTTTTCTCCTGCTTCATCAGATTCAGGGTATTCTTCATGGACATGATCACATTTTTCCCCAACGACACCTAATGGTTCTTCCTCTTCAACCTCTTCCTTGATTTTGTAGATAAGCTTTCCAACTCCTCTCTTATCACAGGAATCTGATCCAAATATTTTCACGTCGAAAATACGGATGCCATCATACTTAAACACTAGCATATCACCCATTTCCAAGTAGTTTTGCTTGACAAATCTTGTCCAGCCTCCAAGAAAGTATGTTTTCTCCTCCTCATGACCTAGCTCAACCTGCCAAAAGTTTCCAAAGCGATCTCTCAAAAGGGCTTTGTTTGGTATATTCCCTTTCATGTACTCCGTCCAATTCAAAGGAAGCATCTGCCATCATATGCAATTAATTACTTGTTGAATCTCCAAAGAAAAAAAAAACAAAATTTAAAAAAGGAATGAGAGAATATTTGCCTGCTAAAGGGCCTGATTAATGTAGCAGACTCAAAGCATAAAAATGGTACAAATACCTACAGGACATTATTCATGTTGAAATTTTATAACAAACACAAGCATGTGCTCATGATATTAATTTATGTCGGGACAACTCGAAATTGTTTGAATGACTCGCATAACTGAAATGAAAACATTTTGAAGTTATAAATGGAATAAATAAATGGCTTGTAAAACATAATTATGGCAAGATGCTAGGAAATGGAGCTTGATCAAATCTTAAAGGTGTTTCTGTTATAAAGTCAAAGCTCAAGCGGATACTGATGGAGGCCTGGGAAAATAGTGATTCTGTCTAAGGCTTATAAGAGTATACAAAACGTTGTAAGTCAACTGGAAGAATAGTTCTTGGATTGGTTGCTTCAGTAGTTTGTATTGAAAGCAAGAAAATGCTCGGTTAAGTAGAAGTGTTGATAGTATCCAGTTCGAAATGCTTAGATCATTTCCTCCATTTTAAGTAGCTTTTTGTTTAGTTCTTTATCTGTAATTTCTAAAACACCTGTGTCTCTATGTAAAGGCTTATATTCCTTCCATTTGAAAATAATTATTTATTTTGGATTTTCATTTATAGCAGGAGTGGAATCAAGCCCCTAACGTTAGGTGGGGCAAAAAAATACAGGGTCGAAACTCAAGGTATACGCCTGAATATTTACCTAAATTTACACCTAATCTCAAAATTGAACACAAATTTCAATGAAAATATATTAGTATTTGAGAATTTGAGATTTGTTTAAATACTTTTATTGGATGTTTAATCAAGTTTAGGAATTAGGGAAATGATATTTGAAATTGCTGCTTAAAAAAGAGTGGGAAAAAAAAACTTCCTTAAAAAGTTTAATTACGATAAAGAAATTAAGAAAAAAAAGAAAAGAAACACCATACTTTTTTCATACAATTTGGATATTTAAACAATCAGTAATATCTAATGTTAAGTGACAAGGTTCTTTCCTGTAGATGAGTATATGTACCTTTACCTTGAAATCTTCTATTACTCAGGTTGGGCAAACTCCATTGTATTGGTAAATTCTTAGATAGCAGGAGAACTTTTTTAAAAATGAGATGTGGCAATTGTTCCACCTCAACACTATGTAGGTCCGCCGTTGATCTATAGTTTAAATTGTACTAAATTTAAAAATCTAAACTAAACAATCATTTTCCAACAGAGAAAGCATTTTTGTTGTGGTAATATCATCTATCTACCTATCTTTTAAGGAAAAAAAAAACATAGTTTGTTGATTTTAGCACATTGGAAAATGCAGATTAGAATTTTGGGTTAGTAAAATTGTCCTCCCCGGGAATAATTGAAGCAAGGCCAGTACAACCACCATTGGAGGTTTTTTAAAAACTAATATTGTTGATATAAAATTTTCCCTTTTGTATTCTCTCAGATGTAAGAAGGCTAATGTTAGAAGGATAAAAAAAGCTAATAAATCTCGAATATTTGTAGGTTTCAAAAACCTGAGAAAAATTGAAAAACTTTCATTCAGTCTGGTTGTAAATAAATGTTAATGAATGGGTCCTTTAAGGTCTTCAAAACGTCTTGGCATTTTAGTCCCAAAAAAAGTACGTTTATAGGCAACAAGAAAGAAAAAACTATACATCATTGGAAATTTTAGTATAAATTTAACATTTAGTTCGTAATGATGATACAAACGCTAATAATGGTACTTTGATTTCTTTCCGTCTTAAAATAATTTTATATCTTTCCTAATGGAGGAACTAGTAAAGATGATTCAAAATCAGATAAGCTTATACATGCAACTTAAGAGGAAGACAAAACACCAACAAAAAGTAGAAAAGATATAATAAATAAATAATATACCAATTTGCTGGTGCAGGTCTGGGTTATGAACGGTTTGAAAAAGAGAAGAATCTCGTTTTCAGGCTTGCTTCCCATCTTCTTTCCACACTTTGTTCCAATCCTTGGAGCCATCTTTATCGACCAATCTGAAAATGACACAAAAGGAAAAACATACCCACTTAAATCAATCAAAGACCCTTAGGTTAAATTTGAAATAGAAGGAATAGAATGATCATAAATGAATCAAGATTTACAGCCTTTACCACTCTGAGAGTCAATCCTGTGTGCTTGGCTTAAAATAATTAGTCATTCAAGGAAAAAAGAAATGACAAACAAAGATACAAAGTGTTAAGGAAACGATTTGATATCCAGATTTCAATGAATGGCAGGAGCCCCGATAAGGAATCAAACGGGTCCTTTTACAATTCTTTTGTGTTTGTGCGTTTTGTTTTTGTTTTGTTTCTACAGGGAAAATAATTTACCATTAGTACTAATGATGTGGAGAACATACATGTTGGTACCGTACCTTAAAAATGTAACGGAGTACTCTTTTTGACTTCAGAGTCGACCTTCTATATATTCAAAATAAGCAAAGAGAACTAGCCCAATTGGGCAAAGAATGTGAATAAATTGGGCAAGTTATGAAATTAATAGTGGTATATGGGTCATTAAAAGTGGGATGAGTGGCTAGATTTACACAATTTATCATGAACTATTGATGATTAATTGAGGTTAGACATGGATGACAAAAATTTTAAAAAAAATTAAATTGAAAAAGATCGACCCAGCAACAGAAAAATCTCATCTGGAAAGAATGGATGGATAAATAAAAAGTAGACATGAAAAACATAATTTTTGTGAACAGCTTCAATTCTTTGATATTATGGTCAGCTTCATTAGAAAATTTGTCACATGTAAATGAAGATGGCCTTGATAAGGGTATCTATGTATGGACAAGGTTTTTAGTTTATGTTGGCAAAAAAAAACCTGTAATAAAAAAGAAGCGTTTACCACTCTGGATGCAACCCTTCAGAGCAGCCTTCAAAAAACCTGTAATCAAAAGGAAGAGAAATCAGAGAACAAAGCTACAAAAAGTTTATAATTAATGACAAATTTTGACTTGGTTTAAAGCGAGGGCGAAAAATCATTAAACCATATACCACTTCTTTAGATCTGATGAGGAGGAAGGACAAAAATGTTTCTGACGGAGAGCTAAAAATTTGACTTGCTGCTGACTTGTGGTTTTTGTTTTCTGAAATCGGAACCAAAAGTTATAGATCTTTTAACGTTGCTTTTGTCCGTATAAATTGAGATGGTCTTTGATTTGTGGAGTATTCACTGGTGATGAAGATTATATATACATCAAATGATGACATATTAATAGATAAAAAAAATAGAAAAATATAATCGAGAAATGAGGATGCAATTAAAGGACAATTTCAGTTTCAAAGTTTTTATATATTTTGGTAAATAAATTAAATTTTAAGATTTTAGTACGCAATTTAAACTCTTGTTATATATATGTTTTAGAGAGAAATCGGCCCAATTGGGAAACAAATTCATTATTAATATATTGGGGAGATTATCAGAATGTACAGTGGTAGGTGGGAATTAAATTGGGATAAGGGGCCAGATTTACACAATTCATAAAGTTATAATACCCTCAATGGATTCTTTCTGTATATCTTAGTTGACCATTAACGAGTTTAAGGTTAATGAATTTGGACACATTTATGAAAGATGATTAATTTGGAGGGAAATAAAAGGAGGGGCAAGGAGAAAGAAATGGCAGCAGAGAAAAAACATAAGCTATCAAAGGATGAATTGATAAATATTAATGTCTTGGTGGATTTAATCACACACAATACGTGTGTATTCTATGGTCTACACCCTATTATGTAGTTAATTTGTACAAGAGAAACGTAGTAAACATAAAAAATAAGAAGTGCAAAATGTAACAGTTGACTTGATAAGGATCAGTTGTATCAAAACTTTAACATATACTCATTTCTCGAAATCCTTGTGAAATTTTCCCTCTTCTTTTACTATTCAACATTGTACAACATGACAAAATTTTGGGCCGCGCGTTATTTTTTGGTTTCACCTAGGTCAATTAGGAATCTTGATCGTAACCGCATAATCCGACGTTTTTTGGAGGTCGATCATGGGAGTAATTTACCGTAACAACAAAAAGACATTACTGATAAATGACTAGTAAGGATATAATGAGTTTCATTTTCCTTTTAAAAGAAATATAAGACGACATCTGGCGGGCATCTCCCGGTTTTATTCATCAGAGAGGATGCACCCTCATCGATTTTGTGTTCTATGAGAGAATCAAATGTGTCGAAAGTAATTGCACGGGAGCACATCAAAAGCATTACATTAAAGACATGGAGAAAATCAATGGCATCATCAAGAGAATCACTCCCTTTGGGAATGGACCGATCAGTTGCTACTCAGTAAAGCATGCAAGGGCAGCACAGTTCCTTTGTAAACATGCAGATGGATTTGGTGAACAAGACAAGAAACGAGTACTCTCCAACTTGACTTAACCTTTGGCACTCATTAATTAGGAGAACCCTTTAGAAAGAATTTGTATCGCCATGATTTGCTTTTAGATTTTAATACATGAAATTCACAAATAATTTTGTTACAAGGCAGGAATTATTTGTGTCACATTTTTTGTTAGACCATTTCCAATACTAATTTAGGAAGAATGTTATCCCCCACAAATAATTTTAAGAAGATACTGTTATTATATATCTTGGTATATATATAAGTAATATTGTTAGAGAATCTTTTGATCCAGACCAAAACAAATTCCAGAAATGTCAGAAAAAAATTCAATCCCCCACATATGGTTCATATTTATTTGGCAAAAGGACCCAACAAGCTTTAATTTCTTCGTGTAGATTTTTTGGGCAGATGGAATATTATGCTCTAACTAAAGAGAAAAGAAATCAAGCGAGCATCATTCCACAGGAAGAGGATTGATGATCACGGGAATCAAACAAAGATCATCTTTTCTTCTTGCAGTCATCCCAGAGGCTTCTTCCATGCTTAACTCCTCCAATTTCATTGGTAAAATCCAATCGAAGTGGAACAGCAACTTGGCTAGTGGAAGCTCAACATTTACAATACCAGATTGAATACCAGGACAAATTCTTCTTCCTCCACCAAACGGGATGTACTCAAAATGTTGTCCCTTGTAATCAATTGGGCTACCCAGGAATCTTTCAGGCTGAAACGATTCAGGATCTTTCCAGTACAAATGGTCCCTGTTAATTGCCCAAACATTCACCAAAACTCTGGTTTTTGCTGCTATTTCGTATCCATTAACTTCAGTTTTCTCAATGTTCTGTCTTGGAGGTAACAGAGGCAGCGGTGGATGTAGCCTCAATGTCTCTTTTATGATTGATTTCAGATACTAGAGCTTTTCCAGACCATCTTCGTCAACGTATCGTTTACTTGTGAAAACTTCTCTTACTTCTTCTTGTGCCCTGTTCATGATTGCTGGATTCCTGATCATCTCCACCATTGCCCAATCAACAGTGGTTGCCGCTGTCTCGCTTCCTGCTCCGAAGATGTCCTAAAACAATAGATTAATTAGCTGATTAGAGTCCCTTAGTTTCCAAAACGTAAATCAAGGGAAAATCAAGGTAAATCTGTAATGAGCCCAGCTCTGTTTTTAAGTATTGTAATATTTAGTATATTTCCTATTATGTTCTAGTTTAGGGTTTCTTATTACCTATACATAGTCTGTATATTGTGTACAATAGATCATGCATCTAATACAATTTCCCTATTCTAAGTTGGTATCAGAGCTAGGTTTAACAAAACCTTTTTTTTTTTTCTTTTCTCTCCCTAATAATGTCAATTTTCGTACTTTGGTTAGGCAGTTTCAACTTCCTTATTCCTCTGTGTCCACGTCCACTGATAAATGTGAGGCGTGTTGTTTAGGGAAGTTACATAGGGTCAGTTTACCTTCTACTTTTCATCATAGCTCTAAACCTCTTGATTTAATTCACACTGATGTTTGGGGTCCTGCTCCTATTTTGTCATTCAATGGTTATCGCTACTTTGTGCTTTTTATTGATGACTTCTCTTTATTCACATGGATTTATCCCATTAAGTATAAAAGTGATGTTGTCCCTGTTTTCAAGCAATTCAAAGCTCTCGTAGAAAACCAATTTGGCACTACCATTAAAAGTGTTAACTCTGATTGGGGTGGTGAATTTCGTTCTCTCAATTCTTTCTTTAAGGATGTCGGTATTGTTCATCGTTTAGCGTGCCCACACACTCATGAGCAGAATGGCACTGCTGAACGCAAAATTCGTCACATTGTCGACATTGGACTTGCTCTCCTTGGCCATTCCAGTACCCCTTTTCGGTTTTGGGATTTTACTTTTGAAACTGCTGTGTTTTTGATTAATCGCCACCCTAGTAAACCTCTTCAAGGTCACCTACCCTTCACTACACTATATCACCAGCCCCCTGATTATACCTTTCTTCGTGTCTTTGGTTGCGCTGTCTATCCTCTTCTTCGCCCTTATAATAAACATAAATTCTCCTTTCGTTCTACTCAGTGTGTCTTTCTTGGATATTCTCCATCTCATCTTGGTTATCGCTGTTTCGATGTGGTGAATAACCGTCTTTATGTTGCTCGTCACGTTGAGTTTGATGAGAAACTCTTTCCCTTTAAACTTCCTATTTCTAGTTCTCCTTCTTCGCTGCTGGAGTCTTCTGCTACCCCTTGGTTGCGTGTCACTAGTTCTCCTGGAATACTTGCGTCGTCTTCTGTGTCTTCTTCGTCTCCTTCTAGTACACCAGTTCTTTCGTCTCCTCCTATCCCTCCCGACTCATCACCGTTAGCTAGATCTCCTGCATCCAGCTCTTCATCAGCTGATTGCAGTCCTCCGCCGCCACCTCCTCCTCCTTCCTCCCGTCAGCACTCAATGACACTTCGTCCACAACCCAAGAAAATCTTTGATCCCTCGGCTCATCTTACCTCTGTTTCCCCAGCCTTGTCTACTGCTCCTACATCCTTCACCCAAGCCAAATCTCTTCCTCAGTGGCAGAATGCCATGAAGGATGAAATTTCCGCCCTCCTCAAAAATAACACATGGACTTTAGTTCCCCCTCCTTCCTCCGGCAATGTTGTCGGCAATCGATGGCTCTATAAGATTAAAACTCATGCTGATGGCTCCATTGAGCGGTATAAGGCTCGGTTGGTGGCTCGAGGTTTTACTCAGTCTTTTGGGGTTGATTACACTGACACATTTAGTCCGGTTGTTAAGCCGGTCACCATTCGTTCAGTTTTGACTGTTGCTCTGGCTCGTGGATGGTCGATTTCTCAGCTTGATGTCAGTAATGCCTTTCTTAATGGAGTTCTAAGTGAGACCGTGTATATGGTTCAGCCACAGGGGTTTGTTGATCCAGTGCGCCCTCATTATGTGTGTAAACTGCATAAGTCCTTATATGGTCTTAAGCAAGCTCCTCGGGCCTGATATTCTTGGTTGGCAGCATTTCTGCTTACCTTGGGTTTTGTGGAGTCTCGTTGTGATCCTTCTCTTTTTGTCTATCGCTGTGGGTCTCAGTTGTGTTTTTTGCTGGTCTATGTGGATGACATTATTCTTATAGGCAGCACTTCTGGTTTGGTCCAGCATTTTATCTCTTGTCTTGCTAAGGAGTTTTCTCTTCGAGATTTAGGTCCATTGAGTTACTTTCTTGGGGTTGAGGTTCGTCGTACTTCCAAGGGTTTGCTTCTCTCTCAGCGCAAGTATGCCACTGATTTGCTACGACTTGCAAATATGCATACTTGCAAACCTGTTTCCACTCCTTTGCAAGCTAATGTTGTGTTGTCCCGTTTGGATGGTACTCTGTTGTCTCCTGATGATGCGACTACTTATCGTCGGCTGTGTGGCAGTCTACAGTATACAACTCTCACTCGTCCAGATATCTCTTTTGCGGTTAATAAGCTTTGTCAGTTCATGCATCAGCCTCGCACTTCTCATTTTCAGGCTCTCAAACGGGTTCTTCGCTATCTTCGTGGTACCGTTGATTACTGATTAGTTCTGCATCCTACAGATTTGGGTACTCTTACTGCGTTTAGTCATACTGACTGGGCTGGTTGTCCGGATGATCGTCGTTCTACAACTGGTATTCTCATTTATTTGGGACCTAATCTCATTGCCTGGGCATCTAGGAAACAGCCCACTGTGGCTCGCTCGTCGACTGAGGCTGAGTTTCGTGCGGTTGCTAATGTCTGTGTTGAACTGCATTGGGTGTGTCATCTGTTGTCCGAGTTAGGCGTTTCTTTACATCGTCCTCCCTCTATTTGGTGTGACAACAGTAGTGCAGTTTTCCTTGCTGTCAATCCTGTGTTCCATGCTCGTACAAGACATGTTGAAGTTGATTTTCACTTTGTTCGAGATCATATTTGGCGTAAGTTTGTTTCGGTCAATTCTATCTCTGCTGCTGATCAGCTTGCTGATATTTTGACAAAACCCTTGTCCAAAGAGTTATTTTTCGATTTCGGGACAAACTTCGGCTTCTCTCTTCTCCGCCGTAAGTTTGCGGGGGCGTATTGTAATATTTAGTATATTTCCTATTATGTTCTAGTTTAGGGTTTCTTATTGCCTATATATAGTTTGTATATTGTGTACAATAGATCATGCATCTAATACAATTTTCTTATTCTAAGTTTAAGTACTTCAGATACTCTCTGTGGCAAAATGATTGTCCATTGTTTTACTAAAAATAGTAAAAGAACTTGACAATCATTTAAGGACGGAAAGGAGCAATTTTGATGAGATTGAAACACTAACCAGGAGAACTGCCTTAATGTTGTCAGAAGTGAGGAAAAATTCAAGCTTTGGATTATCATGATACTTTAATAGAACATCTACCAGATCTTCTCTGGCTTCAGGATCATCAATATTCTCACCTTGCTGTTTTTTCCTGTGCTCAGAAATTATGGTCTCAAGAATACTATCAGATTCGTGGTGTAAACTTAGTAATTTGGACTTAACCCCACCGATCCAATGCAAACACTTTATGGAAGGATAAATGTCAGCAATGTTAAATATGCCTGCCACTCTAAGGCCTTCCTGGAAAATAGAAACGAAGCTTCTTGTTCGGGGCTTTCCTTCCCAAAGGCCGCCCTTGAAGTGATTGTGAACATATATGAGAAAACCTTCTCCGTGAGATTTATTGGCGATCCTGCATTACTAGCTACACATCTGATCAGATTTGCCGTCTCTTCTTCCCTTAAATGTCGAAAGGACTGAACTCGACGAGTACTCAGAAGCTCAAGAGTGCAGATTTTTCTGAGATTCCTCCAGTATTCTCCATATGGAGCAAATACAATGCTGGTGGAATTGTAAGACATGATCTCTGTTACAGTAATTTGAGGCCTGAATGCGAATTCAACATCGTGTGTTTTCATGATTTCTTTTGCCATTTCGGGAGAGGAAACAACAGGTGTAGGAATTTCACCAACTTGAAGAATCATCAGGGGACCATACTTCTTTGCCAAATCTCTCAGGGCATGGTGAGGCAGAGAGCCAATAAGCTGATGGATATTTCCAATGAAAGGCAGTTTCCATGGCCCTGGAGGAAGTTTAGAAACTGGTCTGGCCCTGGATTTTATAACCAGCTTTAGAAGCAAAAACATGAACAAGGAAATGAGAAAGAGAATTGGAAAGTCAAAGTGAACATCCATTTCTTGAATCAGATATGATGATGATAATGATGATTAATGATGCTGGAGTTGCAGGTTATAACAACTCTTTGTTAATTAGATATATGAATACATAAATAAAAGATTCTCACCAAATCGGTTCTTGCACTTAACACGTTCTCATTTCAATCTAATCCATGAGTGACAAGAAAATAATAGCGTTTGTTGTACTATTTTAAAACAAATATATGTCCTCTACATGCTGATTGATGTGCATATTATAAAAAATATAAAATGAATTACTTTGATTCGTGGCCAAAGAATCTAGGCAGGTTAACACATGTCAGCACGTGAAAAGTTTTAGCTTTTTGCTTTCATCTTAAAATAGAAATTTCATAAAAGATAAGATTAGAATTAGCTGGAAGAGGAAGTACCTAAGAAGAACACAAGAAAGAAATTAGCTGGGAGTATAGGACAGATTTCATTCATCAATAATCATAATCCAGATCCATTTGGTACAACTTCCTTTATACTAATCTCCCTATTTTCGATTAACTTTGATAAATATTTCAAGAAGATAAGCTAGCACATGTGCGAAGATTCCTTCCATGTCATGCATAATAATCGAATCGTGATACGCATTGTGTATCAGAAAATTAAATTCATTATACACGTATCATATTAAAAGATACTTTTTAATTTGATAATATATCAAAAAATAAATAATAAATGTCCTAAATTCCACGTGTAATAATTAGTAAGGGACCAGATTTACACAATTCATAAAGGGCAAGTCATAAATTAAGAGCTATTTTTTTTATATTGAGAGCAACTTTTTTTGAAATACTGACAATACCCACAATACAAAATCTTTCCAAACTCTATTAATTTATCACTATCCGTTTACCCACATTATTATTATTTCCAAATGCGGTAAAAAGTTTTCTTACTTCTTCACACCACCTCCAAACGCTGCCGCTACATCTTTTCATCCCAAGTCTTGGCTGCAAATTTGCATCGATGATGGCAGATTCAATAGGAAAAGAAAAACCCCCAAAAAGAATAAACCAAAAAACTGAGAAAATCAATCTGATTCCAAACAAAACTAATCTAATTTATTAACCAAAGTTTTCATATTTCTCTCCGGGTCGATTCAATCAAGCTTACTTTAGGACCCCTTTAATCTCCTCACTTGTATCTTTTTCATGCTTCACTGACATATCGAACTGTTTTTCTTGGTGTTAACATGAAATTTTTTTTAAAAAAAAAAATTTGTTTGTGTCAGATTTGGAGACTGCGACAGATTGTGATTTGTTGCTATTTTTCTTTCCTTTAAAAAATTTATTTCATAATTCTTACAAATACAAGGAATAAAATTTTTAAAATAGAAAAAATTGAGAAGGGAAGAATCCAGATTAAATAAAGTGATGAGAGAAATTTTCATCAATGTGGTAAAAATTGGCAAGAAGATTAAGGAAATGATAATTTAATTAGTAAAAATGTAAAAATTATGTTGAAGAATAATATCGATATTTGGATAGAATTTGCTCTCAATATGAAAAAATTGTTCTCAATTTATCAATAGCCTTCATAAAGTTATAATGCCTTCAATGGATTCGTCCTGTATGTCTTAGTTGACCATTACTATTGATATTTAATGAATTCGGACACATTTATGAAAGATGATTACTTCGGGGGGAAATAAAAGGAGGGGCAAGGAGAAAGAAATGGCAATAGAGAAAACATACGCAAAGAATGAATTGATAAATTATTGATGTCTTGGTGGACTATAAAAACTACGTGCCTATTCTATGGTCTACCCCCTTATTATGTAGTTTGTACAAGAGAAAACGTAATAAAAATAAAAATAAAAAGTGCAAAATGTAACATTTGACTTGATAAGCAGCAGGTTTTATTATTACTATTTTTTTTTATTGAATTTAGCACGTTTTATTGTTTGTATCAAAATTTTAACATATATTTATTTCTTGAAATCCATGCATGTGAAATTTGCTTTGTCTTCAACAAATTTCTTTTACTCTTTTAACATTGAATAATCGGAAAAAACGTTTTGGGCCGCGTTATTTTTTTCACCCAGGAATATATTCTATGAATGTTAATTTAATTATGAAACAAGCAATAAAAGTAACCGCAAGTTTGATACAAATTAATTTAATTATGAATGTTAAAATATTAAATTATAAACGCTGAATTCATTAAGCAATTAAGTAATAAATAATAAGCTAACTTTTATTGCTTATATTCTATACTACAATTTCATAATCATTTAAATCATTAAGAGGTTGATATTTTATTATCAAACATACTGAAGTCAAAAAGTGTTTAAAGGAATAATCTTAAACAATAATTACTGTTATGAAACAAGCTCTGAAGTTACAGTGATTTTCATTTTAATCTGTCAACTGTATACGCCTCCAGTTGTTAAGTTGATGATGTTTTTTATTTTATTTTTTTTGACATAAACATATTGAAACAGGACAGACCTCACTAGAACAAAAACTAAAACAAGGAAATCTTAATCCACCACTAAGAATTGCTCCTTCGCCATATTTTGATGGCATTAATTGTCCCAAAGATTGGGGCACCGGACATATGCTACCAGGAATGTGTGAATCAATATACCGGTGACTATACTGCGAGGAACTGCCCTACTGGTTGTGCTTGGTATTGTGAAACTGTCTGTGCAAAATCAAGAGTCGGTTATGCTTTTTGCGACAAATTGCGCCCGTATGCTTGATGTTCACCCCCAAAAAAAAAAAAAAAACCCCAACGTCTATTTTCCTTTAAAACTACTGAAATCCGGTTTCTCACTTTCTATCTGTTTCTTTATTTACTTGTTCATTTTCCATTTTTTCTCTTTTTTTCCGTTTTTTTCGTATGTGTGTTATTTTTCCTTTTATTGTCATCCTGAATGTATGAAACTCTCATTTGTTTGTATCTTCATCAATAAACTGCATTTTATATCACCACCGATAAACACCATAATAGGCGAGGTGCCTATTCTTACTCGAATACTTTGTTTTTGCGTAAGCTTGGATGCCAAAGGCACCCTTGGGATGATCTTGTAGTTTTTATGGGGTGGAGATGATGGGTTTCGTCAATGAATTTTCCGTATCTTTCAAGATTCACTCTACAATGGGGCAAAAAGACAAATTAAGGGAATTTCAATCTAGACATCTAAAGTGTATATTAATTCGTTTTCGCGTTCGTGAATCTGTATCGATGACTTGGTATATATGTGTTATTCAATCGTACTGATTGAGTGGTGTTTAGATTGAACTGGATTATATTGGTAATTTTTTTTTTTAGTTTTTTTTCCCCATTTTCGTTACAATTGTCTTTCGTTTCTATAGATAGAGTAGTTGAGACTTAAGTGTGGCTGACGTAAGGGAATAAAAAACCGGTGACTGAAAAATATCACAAAAAGATGATTTCGATTTTGTATCACATTTCGAGAAATTGTAATTGTGAATCTATTATCTATTATTATTTATATATGTTAAAGCAAAGTTATTAATCGGCACGTGTCGTCCAGAGAGCAAATTTAGCCAATTGTGCCACTTGTCGTCGCCAAAATTCTACTTCATTAAACAGTTAAAATTTTATTACTAATAAGTAAAATTGCTAAATTGAATAAAGTAATTAACCAGTATTTAATTTTGGAAGAATAAACACGTCTTTAATAATTATTAACAAATATATGACATAATGAAACATTAATCATCAAATTAATAATTGTATTAAGAATACAGTTTGAAACTAGATCTGGATACATTAAACGTAAGTTAATATTATTTTATAGATAATTCTGTTTGATATATTTTCCAATAATTAAAAGAGACTACTTACCAAACTGAAGATACTATTTACCAAATAATTACATGAGTACAATACAAAACTAAGCCTAAACATTAAACATAAGTTGATAATATTTCTCTCCAATCCTGGTAATGAGCATTGGAATGCTGTGAAATGGATTCTCAGGTTAGGGGTACTTCCAGATTGAGTCTTTACTTTGCCAATGGGTACACCAAGTTAGATGGATATACAGATGCTGACATGGCGGGTGACATTGATGGTCGGAAGTCTACTTCTGGATACTTGATGACTTATGGAGGGGGAGCAGTTTCATGGCAGAGTAGGTTGCAGAAGTGTGTTTCTTTGTCTACTACAGAGGCAGAGTTTATCCCATCTACTGAATCTTATAAGGAAGCACTTTGGTTGCAGAAGTTTCAACTAGAGCTTGGCATGAAGCAAGAGAGGTATGTGGTGTATTGTGATAGCCAGAGCGCTATTCACTTAACTAAGAATTCCACAATTCATTCGCGGTCTAAACATATTGATGTGAGATATCATTGGATTCGGAATGTGTTGGACTCCAAGGCGTTCTTTCTTAATAAGATTCATACGGATGATAACGGTGCCAATATGTTGACGAAGACTGTGAGTAGAGACAAGCTCATGTTTTGCAAACAGGAAGCCGGTTTGGTTTTACCCCCCAATTGAGGTGAAGAAGGAGATTGTTGGGCCAATATTTCCCTCAATTGAGCCAACATGATTTAAAGCCAAAATCCATGTTGGATTTGGTTTGGTTTGGCCGAATAAAAGGAAAACCAATTGGATTTGGTTTTTTGGTTTTGTTTACTTATAAAAGCAAGGTTGCACACAACCTTATGTGCGTGTGTGTTTTTCCAGCCGAGGAGAGAAGAAAAGTTTGAGCAGCCGTGTATTGTTTTTGTACGAGAGAAAAAGAAAGAAAACTACGGTTTAGTTTTCGGTTTAACTCTCTTTTGGTGAGATCCTTCCAATCCTACTTTGTGGTTTAGGTGTGTGTGGAAGAGTATTGTTGTAATCCACCTATGGGTGAAGTCCTGTGTATCCACTAGTTGGTGAAGTTTGTTTCCCATTATTGTGATAGTGGAGATTTGACTGTTGTTACAGTCCCGTGGTTTTTCCCGATTTGACTGTTGTGAAAGGGTTTTCCACGTAAATCTATGTGTCTACTTTACTTTTATCAGCTTCTTGAATTATTTGCTTGTTTGGTTGGCTTGGTTGATTGTCCTATTTTATTGGTAGTAGCAAAGGAGATTTTCTTGGGAATCGTTTCTACTGGTTTGTTGTGTTTGTACCCTTTCCGCCACAACAGACAATAATTTCGTTAAATCAAGGACATAACAATGTTATTAACTGAATTTGGTTCCTATTTCTGCCCGATAAAAGATTTCATTTTGCTAGGATTGTTTCTATTCTTTGACGGGAAACCATCAACAAAATTCACTGTCGGAATTGAACCCATGGTGGTTATTCTTTCAATTACTAATTTCGATAGGGAACAATGGAGGAAGGCTAGGCGAAAAAAATTTATGTGTGAAATTAGGGGTGGAGGTCGTTAGTGGGCTAATAGCCGCGGAGAACGAAACCGATGGCCAAGACCGGAACAAATGTGTGAAATTAATGGTGGGTTTTCTTTATAGAGGAGACAAAACGACGTCGTTTTGAAGTTCAGGTTTTAATTTTGTTGGGCGGTTTTTTAATTTTTTTCAGAGAAAAAAAGTTTAAAAAACACTGCATTTAAATAATGACGGTTATAACCCTTTTTAAAAATGCTGATATCATCGGGAATATCTAAATCAATTAAAATATTAGAATATAATTGGAAGAGATTCTTTTATAAGAAATTGAGATAATGAGGTGTTGAGTCTATAACATAAAGGAGTCTAATAGTGAATTGTAATCGAATTTTTTCATTAGAAATTCTATAACTCATAAAGATACAGTCTAGTTATTAGTAGTACCATCGCGAGATTAAGCTATAGATAAAACAATTAACTCAATATTTCTTAATTTTTTTTTCAGGAAGGGCGTGGGGGAGGGGGGGGGATGGAGGGGGAGTGAGGGGGAAGGACATTTTTGTTAATGTGTAAAACATTAGCTGGAGAGCAGTTAATATATGAGAAACCCGGAGCGACCTAATTAGGGAACACCACATGCGCCCGCAAACAACATCCCACTTGCATCCACCCTCATCATTTTTTAAAAAATCAAAAAATTTCAGAAAAATAGAAAACAAACTGTTGATTTCTCCAAAAATCCTCCGGCGACTTTTCGCTCCAGATCTCTGGCATAACTTCGTCCGGCGAATTTCCTCCCTAATCCTCGAAATTTCATCCGCTAAATCTACTAGAAACATCTCTCTGGT